GCACGGTCTTGTTCATATCTTTTGTTTGTCCATCACAGAATGGTGTACCAGTTTTATGCCCTACCTACTCTTCAGGCTCACTTTTGCAACTTAAGTTTTCTGTCGGCTGGTCAGGGCTTTTGCCCAACATCTTCATGCCCTTGGGCTACATTTCCATTATTACATGGACGACTGGCTTCTTCTGGCCCATTCCGAACGGTAATCGGCCAATTGGATCTCGTCTATTGGACCCATGCACACCACATTCGTTTAATTGCAGGTCATGTCCCAGGTGCTTTCAATCTAGTTGTGGATAGTGTTTCCCACCCAACAAGGTTTATCTGACTGAGTGTTCCCTCCATCCTCTTGTTTTCCGGGGGCTTTGCAATTTGTGGATTTTTCCTCACATTGATGCATTTGCCACCACCCTGAATCACAAGTTACCCCTCTATTGGTCTCTGGTACCTCAGGCTTTGGCTATCAATGCCATCAGCCAAGATTTGTCACACAAATTCCTACATGTTTATCCTCCTATCTGATTGCTTCATCAGGTAGTTTCCCTAATCCATGCCACTCCATGCTGGGTCCTTCTGATAGCTCTCTTGGCTGGCTTAACCGTGGTTGCCTCAGTTGCACCAACTCCAATTATTCCGTCCTGTACCACTTCCCTTATTCCCTAACCTCCTTCGTTAACCCCAATCACTGGTTCTATGTCCTGCTATTCATGCCTGGCTTTTGTCCAGTCCTTGGCGAGGAGATCTGATTTCTCCCGTCATCTAGCTTTCCATTTTGCTCAATCCATAAGTCCTTCTATGGAAGTATATCAACGGAAGTGGGAAGTCTTTTACACATGGTCCATGCTCGGGGATTTCCAGCTGCTCGACCTACTGTGGCTGGTGTCTCTGAGTTTCTCACGTAGCTTTTTGACAGGGGTTCTTTGTCTCTTTGAATTCAGGTTATTGGGCAGTCTTGTCCCATAATTTCGTCTTTCCTGTTACCGTAGAGTCTTTGCTTCACCTGTCCTTACCATGTTAATCCATTTCTTCTGGATTCAACGACCTCCTCAGCAACCTACTTTTCCAGTCTGGGATATTAATGTGGTCCTCCATTTGAACCACCATCCTTGTGTTTTATGTTTTACCTTTCTCTCAAAGCATATTTCCTTTTCCATATGGCCTGTGGTCATTGATGGTCTGACTTGTTTGCCAAGTTTCTTGCAGTTTCTTCTTCATCCTGTTTTCGTCTTCCACATGTGGTCATTCTTCAGGCTTGAATGCGACTTTGATTGGGTCAGTTTATATTCATACTTTTATTTTCCTTTTAGGGGCCCTTTCTTCATTTACTCATTATATGGATCCCACTCTATGGTGAGTAGTGCCTGACCAGGTACTCTTCAATCAGAAATCCACACTGTTCAGCCATGTTGACTCACGCTTTATCTTCCATGATTTCACAATGCTTACCATTGAGATGTTTCACAAGATCGCTTGTAGGTGAATAACCTAGCGGTTTTTACTTCATAAATTTGCCTGTTCCAGTCTATACCACCCATGGACTTCATGGGTAAAGCAGAAGGGATAGTTCCCATTCCTGCCATACCTCAATTGAATAAATCAGTATGGTCTGCTTTTCAAAAAATGGTTTCATGATCACCCCTTGTACTGTCTGAGGTGATGACATTCCTCAAGAGTCTCCAATCCATTCTCACTCCTTTTCTTCTAGTGGAGTATGGGAGTCCTTACCACTCACCAGTTCCAAACTGCTGGGAGGGGCGACCATAGAGGCACCCTCCTGAATGAGTTCTACACAAAGATGGCTATAACCATTCAATGCAAAGTGGAGTGGTGGTGTTCTGCAGGTGTAGATGACGTAATATCCTCCAATTTGCAATAATCAATACAACAGAGTGAGATGTTAGAATGCAGTTCTCCCCATCGATTGGGAGCCCTCATTTTACTCTCACGTGGATGTCAGTACCTCAAGGGCTGGTTTTGGATGTGCGTGAACTAATTAACATAAGTCCTCACACATGTTTCAGGTTGTCTATCTTCCTCCCTCAATTTGCTTCATCTGTGTTGTGGGTCACAGCAGTGGCACGTGAGATTGTCTGGTTCAATCTTTGGCTATCCCTTGTTCTCTATTCTTATGGGGACGTTATTGCTAATTGGAGGGTCCCAACATATTTCACGGTTGGGGAAGTTGATTGCATGTGAAAGACATCCTTTTAATATTGGATGTCAAATTTCCAGATTGATAGTTCAGAGCTAATCGGTTTGTAGAGTTATGTTTTAA